TGGGTGCGTCTGGGGGCATCGCCACCCCCGTCTGCCTGCTGCTGCTCGGAAACCCTCCTGGTGCCAGGCCACGGGGTGGTCCTTGGTCCATTGCGGAGGCTCCTCCTTGACCTTCTCATAGGAGCGGTGACAGAGCAGGGACCCGACACCCCTTGTCTGAGAGGAGGTTTAGGCGAAACAGCGCTTTCAGGTTTTACTGGGAGCCCGCTGCCTCCAGGACGCAGGCGTGAGTCATGGGAGGGAAGGGCCTGGTGCAGTGTCTGCTTGGGCCCTTGGTGACGCCTCCAGGTGGCCTCCAGGACTTCCCTCCCTCTGATAGCCACGTTTCCTTGCTCGACCACATTTGTCCTTATTTTGGATGTAAGAAACGTCCAAACCTGTGGAGAATTCTGTATGAGATTTTATTTGTGTCGAGCTGACGACACTTGCCAGGAACAAGCTCTCAGATGGTCCAGGGAACCACAGCTCTGCAGTTGCTTTTATGCGTTTGGGATTAAGGAGGGAAGTAAGGAGGCTTACACGAGGGTGGGAGAGAGCAGGTGGGGATGGATTACAGGGCAGTTAAGATCATGTGCTCTCTCGAGGGTGGTGCACTGCTATCAAAGGTGCGTTAACATGTGCACAGAAAGGCGGACAGGGCTTGGACGGGGCTTGCTGACGGGAAAGGCAGACCTTTCACTAGGAAGTTAATGCCTGGTGGCCGCCCACGGGACCTCCCTCAGAAATTTATGATCCGATTACGCTGTGAGGTGACTTCCCCGCGGAGGCTCCTCCTTGACCTTCTCATAGGAGCGGTGATAGAGCAGGCGACCCGACACCCCTTGTCTGAGAGGAGGTTTTGGTGACTTTCAGGTTTTACTGGGAGCCCGCTGCCTCCAGGACTGAGGCGTGAGTCATGGGAGGGAGGGGCCTGGTGCAGTGTCTGCTTGGGCCCTTGGTGACGCCTCCAGGCGGCCTCCAGGACTTCCCTCCCTCTGATAAGAACTTAAATTGAGCCACGTTTCCTTGCTCGACCATGTTTGTCCTTATTTTGGATGTAAGAAACGTCCAAACCTGTCGAGAATTCTGTGTAAGATTTTATTTGTGTCAAGCTGACGACACTTGCCAGGAGCAAGCTCTCAGATGCTCCAGGGAACGGCAGCTCTGCAGTTGCTTTTATGCGTTTGGGATTAAGGAGGGAAGTAAGGAGGGTTACACGAGGGTGGGAGAGAGCAGGTGGGGACGGATTACAGGGCAGTTAAGATCATGTGCTCTCTTGAGGGTGGTTGCACTGCTATCAAAGGCGCGTTAACATGTGCACAGAAACGGCGGACAGGGCTTGGATGGGGCTTGCTGACGGGAAAGGCAGACCTGTCACTAGGAAGTTATATGCCGGTGGCCGCCCACGGGACCTCCCGCAGGAATTTATGATCCGATTACGCTGTGAGGTGACTTCCGGGAGGACCCCTTTTTCAGCCACACGATGGCGGGTCTTCCCTAGGAGAGCACCTGATCCTCCAAGCAAATGCACGATGTCAAATAAAGCCT